CTGTTTGTTTGCTTCGATTAGTGCATTTGGTTGATATAATATTGGTCTGTTTGAGGAAATTGAATAGAATGAAGATTAAGTCTGTATTGCTGTAATTACACTCTTTGAAGATATTGGGAAAACACGGTATCACGGATTTTGATATTTTTGTTGTTATTTTTATTTTTGGTGATTTGAGATTTTTCAGAGCTATTGATATGTTGCATCTTCAGTTTTTCCATGACTGATGTTGATTTTGGGAGTTTCGTGTTGAAGTCGACTGGCGATCTTTGTGTTTTTGGGAATATTTGTTTGGTCTCCTTCACGCTAAGCAAACGTATCATAAGGAAATGAACAGCTTTAGTTGAAATGAAAGGCATTGAGAGATTATTGTTTCAAAATATGTAGTGCTGGGAAGTGTAAAAACGAAGGAAATTGTTTTGGTTCATGTTCTTGATGCATTTATCCTTTTTCCTTTCTATCCATGTTCTTGTACTCTGATATTGAACAAAAAGAAGCTTGAGATCTTAATGGATACTTACTAGAAAAGCTGTGAATTGCAAAAAATGATTTGTTTCAGCAGTGATTATGTCAATTCTGCTGTTCTGCTAACGTGTTCGGACTATTGAAACTTTTACCCTCTGTTGCATAAATTCATGACAGCTGATCAACTCGAATTTGCAGTTATATTAGCTTCTACGTGCTATAGAAGCTGATATTGGGCAGTTTGCAACACAAGCCTCTATCAAAACCCGCCAAATTGAAACGGGCCCTAAGCCCGATCAAATGGATTCCATGAAGGGTAACCAGCTAAAGAATTCAAAACCCACCTTGACCTATCCATCCTATATTATTTCATTCTAATTTATTGCAATCTTTTTTTCCTTAGTTATGTAGTTTTCACATTTTTGAACAATTAGGTGTAGAACTATGTTTGTTCCTAACAACATGTACAGTTACACAGAAGAAGGGTTGAGGCTTTTGACAGCATTGTATAATTTAAGTGATGAACTATGATTTTGTCATATTGACATATTGAGATGCTTTATGGGCATATTCAATTTCCGAGATGTGATTGGGTTGATTACGAATGATGGGATTAGAGGTGATTGCAGAACCCGAAAACTGCCAAGTTGAAAGTATACTACTATGGCTCGTTTTGGCTCTGCAAAATTGGTTCATTGAAGCTCTGAATTCAATTCGATCTTATTTTTCTTTAGGAACCCACAAAAAATAAAAGTTCATTAAAATTTAGAACCACTGACCTTGGTCAGAAAAGTTCAAAGTCTCACAGGTAGCTAAATAATTTTGCGTAGGAAAGTATGTATATTTGTAAGAAGAGTATGACTGCCTGACCGTACGTTATTAGACAACCTATCAAAAGACTAAGAGCATCTCCAATGCATAAATGTTGTTATTACATAAATTTTGACAAATATCAATTAATTAGATGGATTATGAACCACATAGGATAATTGTTAGGTTCACAATTTTAATTCTAAAAATTATCTCCAATGCACAATATAATTAAACACAATATTGTGGCCAAAATAAAAAAAATTATAAATATGAAAGAAAAGGAATTAAATAATTACATACTTTGAAAATGGTAATAATATTTATCTCTCCTCTCTCCATTGGTTGACTAGAATGTGAATAAAAATGTGGATGAACCACATTCTTATCTACATTTGTAGACATTAATTATGTTCACTTCATCACTAAATTTGGGATAACATTGTGTATTGGAGGATTAAAAGTGAATAAATGGCTAAATATATTATTGTAGAGTGTAATTTACTACAACTACATTTAAGCATTGGAGATGCTGCAACGGATGTTTATTGTTACCATTAGAGGTCAGTGGATAAAGCAAATCCTATCTTTAGTTTTCTTTAATGATTTCATTGAATAGACTCGCACTCGACTGAAGTCTCGGTTTTAGCGATATTCCATCCTTCTCTATCTGCTCTCCTTCCTTTTCAGAAATGGAAGAACATAACAAGCTGGAAAAAAAATAAAAAATTGTGCTCGAGTACAAGTGGTTCTCTCCTTTAGGGCACACGTGAAAAAAGTATAGTTGATTAAAATATATTTTAAGTGAATACAAATTACAAACTTAGTCATAGTTATTAGCAGAAATTCTATGGCGCCCATATTAGAGTAATTGTACTTATAAACCCGAAAATTCGAGTTTAATGCGGAGCTCATTACGCCACATCACTGATAAAAATGACTCGCTTTAAAAATCACACTTCACAATCACAAACTGAAAAAAAAATGTACGAGAGGGCGATTTTCAAAGTTTATAAGTTATCGATTTTGTGTAAAATAATGCGTTTGAAATGAAAAAACGTTGTATTAACATAAACATTACATGGACAATAAAGTCTACTAAATACTTGAACCGACCTTAATTATTATTAGTTATAATAAAGAAAAAAAAAAGAGAAATACAATAAAATAATGAACAAAAAGTGTATAGATTTTTAAAATCTATATTGTAAAAATTATTTTATTATTTAAATTACTTCGAAGTAGTTCTTATTTGTTATAATACATACTCAAAATTCTAATATTTTCTAACGTAATTCTTGAAAATATATCTATTATCATTTTAAATTTTGGTCTATTTATTTATTATAAGTGGGCGTAAATCGTAATGAGTTCTCTATAGTCTATACCAAGTGGTTAGTTGGCTTTTTCAAGTTTTCATGATTGTTTTTTTAACTTAATTTTTATGTAATTAAATATTTTGGTTTTCTATTTTAAAACAGAGCTATGATAACTTCTCAACAACAAAACAATTATATAGTATGCTACCGTAGTTCCATTACAATTGTTTTCTCAGCAAAAACGAAAATTGTGTGTGTATGTTGGTGTTGAATTGAACGATAAATGCTTGAAATTGTAAGAAACAGGGGAAAAATATGTGTGAGTAAGATGACGTGGGAGAACTCACAAATGTATATTCTAACAGAAATCTCGTAATGTTTTTATTATTCTTTTAGACAATTACAGGATGATACGAATTACAATCACCTAAAAAAACCAATCTAATAGTACATGGATCGAAATTTCTATCAATGAGTATAAAATCCTTTTATAATTAAGAATAGATGATGATACAATTTAAACGGCAATACTTTATTTTAACATTATAAATTTGACCTCTGATACAAGTTTTTCACTCCGTCATTATATAGATATATATCTTATTTTTCAAACAATAAAACTACAAAGTCAAATAATTTTTGGCATTTGGAATAAATAAAAACCCACCTGGCTCCAAGTCAAATAATCTTTTCCACAGGTTATTCTGGTTTTCCGTAGTATGAATTTGATTAAATGTATCATAAATTGTACTTAACTAGAATGAAAAATTCAAGGCCCGCCTCACTTGACTAAGTTATTTGGTTGTAATGACAATTCACAGTGTTAAGAAATTCATAATATAGAGTATTATAATAATAATATAGAATGTTACACATTTACAGTAATTTGTGACAACGACAATTCATTTCGAAGAAATAAAAAAATAAAAAAAAAACGTGGATTTCCTGATTTTTATCTGCTGAAAGCCTGGAACAAGTATAAAAGAAAAGTCAAATCTTGCATTCTTCACATGCATGGTTCCATGATCAGAAACACTTAAATTTAATGTCTAAAATATTTTCTTTATGTACAAAATTGCAAAATATGTTCTTAAACTTGGACAGTCGGCAAATTATTTTTCCTATAAATTTTAGGACTGCATAAAATGTTAACGAAGTAAAAAAAAAAATCAAGCACAATTTTGCCAAATATATAGAATATACTCGCTACTTAATTCCAGAATATGCCTAGTTACTCGTGTGATGCGGCAAAATACCTGCAATTTAATTATTTAATTAATTAATTGATATTTTATACAATCACAAAATTATCAATTTAATTAACCATATATTTTATAGTTTTTGAACTGTACATTTTTATCCTAGATTGATGACAATTAAACGTGCCAAATTATACAAAGTGCTGCCTGATGATAGTGAGGTCCCCATATGGTTTTGTAGTTTGTAGTTGTAACCTGACAGATAGATACACTGATACAGTTCAATAAATATCTCATATACATACATTTATAAAATACAGTTTTCATTTAATGCACCTCCATATAGTACAATTCTGAAATAATGCATGAGCTCACATCTATCATTTTCTTCAATTTTGTCCATAATTTACCATCTCTCTTTTATAATATCACTAGACCTATAAACAAGAACTCGAGCTCTTAACGAGCCGAGTCGAGCTCGGTTCATTAAATAAACGAGCCAGAAATCGAGCTCAAGCTCGGCTGGTATATCATTATTAACGAGCTGAGTTCGAGCCGATCTCCAACTTAATTTAACTAGTCAAGACTTATGGAGCCAAACAGAGCTCGACTCGTTAACCAAACGAGCTTTAAATGAGCTTGAGCCCCGCTCGTTAAGGTCTCGAGCTCTAGTTGAACTCAATTCTTAATGAGTCGAGCTAGACTCGTTTAATTTAACAACACTAAAAAACACACTAGACACACGGAGCATTCGATTCCATTGGTGACTACAATTTTTCATCATTAGATAAATACACACACGTATATTCGTATTAATGTTTATTCATCTAGCAGTAAAAAATAATATAGTCTTAATGAGTGACTAATCGAGCTTATGGTAATCAGGCTCGAACTTCGACCTTTAACGGGACAGTGATCTGTAATCGTGCTTGAATCTTAACGGATCAAGTTCTCGAATGACTCATTTTGCGTAATAACTCTAACTAGCGTTAGTAAGTGATGAGTTAACCTGATAATATTCTAGACGGAGTTGGTAAAATTTGGAATGTGTGATATTTGTCTAGTCAATTTGTGGGTGCTGGGACCTGTCACATTCACATCTTTTCTAATTAGTTAGCCAAATAAGAAAAAAGTACAAAAAAAAAAATTAAAATAAACAGTAAAAAAAAATTGAAGAGTGAACTTTATAAATGGGGGACAATTCTTNACAGAAATGGAGAGCAAAATTCTAATTTTTGGAGGGACAGGTTACATTGGGAACCATATTGTGAGGGCAAGCATCAAATTAGGGCATCCAACTTATGTCTTCACAAGACCTAATTCCAGCAAGATTGATACTATTGATGAGCTTCACTCCATAGGAGCTATTATTGTCAAAGTATCTATTTTTTTTTATTATTATTCGTTAGATTGTCTTGTACAAGAATTTATATTTTCAATTTTAACAAAATATTATACTAGTGAATGTTTTCGGGTTTACCGGGTTTGTGTTAATCGTTTATATATTCCAAAAAATGCTTATACGGTTTTCAAATTTTATCCTTAACTGATTTTTTTATTCTTTTATATTAATTCATTAGGGAGAAATGGAGGATCATGACAAGCTTGTCTCAATCCTTAAGGAAGTTGATATTGTGATATCTGTTTTGGCAATTCCTCAAATTCTGGAGCAGCTCAAAATCATAGAGGCCATCAAAGTTGCTGGTAATATTAAGGTAAAAATTAAATAATTCTTTTTTTTTTTTTGTATATCCTTTTTTTTTTCTTTAAATAGTTTGTAAAGATGATGAGGTTAATTTAATCTTATATATCCTCAGAGGTTTTTGCCTTCGGATTTCGGTGTGGAAGAAGATCGAGTGGCTGCATTGCCGCCATTCCAAGCCGTGCTCGAGAAGAAGAAGAAAATCCGACGAGCCATTGAAGACGCTAAAATCCCTTACACTTTCGTCTCGGCAAATTGCTTCGGTTCTTACTTTGTCAACTATTTGCTTCACCCTACCGAGCAAAAACAAGAAATCACCGTTTATGGCACCGGTGAAGCTAAGGGTATAATGCGTAAAATTAAACCTCGTGTTTCGTATTTTCTAAACGACTTATAATGGAATCTTTGTTGCTGTTTTTTTGGGTTATATAATGCTAGTCGTGATGAACTATGAAGAGGATATCGGCATTTTAACGATTAAAGTGGCAACCGATCCAAGAATGTGCAATCGAGTCGTTATTTACCGGCCGGCGTGCAATATTATTACACAGCTCGAGCTGATTGCTTTGTGGGAGAAGAAAACAAAACGAGTTTTTAACAGAGTTCATGTGCCAGAGGAAGAATTGGTGTCCTTGTCTGAAAGTAAGTCTGTACTTTGTGTGACTGATTGTATTGTACTTTGGTGGAAAAATTAGATATTTAGTCCTTTAACTAACACTAAATTGAGAAATTGTCCGGTGGTTGCCTTTGATTTACAAAATGCCCTGTAAGTGCAAAAAAAAAAACCTGATTTTTAGTCCTTCCACCGGCAAAAGCCGGTCAATTTGACTGGTTGGCTGTTGAGTTGGATATGTTAGTCGGCTGCCATGTGTAAAGAAAAAAAAATAATGAAACTATATCCACGTCAGCAACCGGTCATAGAGACCAACTTTTGCTTGTGGAAAGACCAAAAGTCATATGTTTTGTCAGTTACACTACTAAAACTTCGATTTTTCCTACTTTGATTAAAATACGAGTTTTTTTTCTTTTTTTGTAATTTATCTCAAACGAGATTGTCGTCTCGTACTTTTGCAGCTCTGCCGAGCCCTCACAACATACCAATCTCGATTCTTCACGCCGTTTTTGTAAAAGGCGTGACGATAAACTTTGATCTTGAGGAGAATGAAGTCGAGGCTTCGGCATTTTATCCCGAGTTGAAATTGACTACTGTTGACGAGCTTCTCGACATTTTCATCTCCAATCCACCAAAGCCTGCTTCTGCAGCATTCTAATAACGAATTCTCGGGATGACTAACGAGAAGTGCACTCTGAGGTTTTACCTATTCACGAAAAAATCACGGCACAGTCAAATAATAAATGTATCTAAATGTTTCGACTTGTTGTGACTCGTATCGAATATATTCACAACTTTTCATGACATTAGTCGAGCATATCGTTGCATACGAACCATTTTATTACATGTATATTGTGATTGAATCTTTGATCTGATGAAGTCCTTACTGAACTGAGTGAAAAGATTGAATCTTTGATTGAAAAAAAGGTTTTAAGACACATAATTCATGTGCATTCATGCTAGCTAATTAAATGGCTTATTTTGGTTCTTACATACAATTTTATATCAAAGGAGGGCCTGCCCGGAAAATCGGGCCACCAAGATTTTCGGTCGAACGCTCGTCTTTTCTCAATTCTGATGAATAAAGATCATTGTAGTGTTAGAAAGTGAACTAATTTAGATGTCTATTTATGTTACTAATAACTTGATCCCAAGATAAGTTTCTATAGTGACATACAAGGTAACATAAAGTTTTTCTTCACTAAAATAAAATTTGTTGTATGTAGAGCTATATGTTTTATGGGTAAAAGGATCATGTTATAATGACTTAGTAGATGATATAAATTTTGAGATAATAACAAGTGTGGATACTTTACAAATCATAACACTTTTAAAATTAGATTTATACATGAAAATAGTTTTATCCGAAAAATAATAGGGGTTTGTGGAGGTATTGTAGCAACCTTGACTTTCTTTCGTTTTTTATTTTTATTTTTTCTTTTGTCTATCTCTAACTCTCTAAATGACGACCTCAAAACATTTGTCAGCATGTTTTGGGCTGAATAATCAAGTTTGGAAATAATAAGCTGCAGCCCAATTACAATTCTGGGCTAAGTTCAGCTCCATAACTTATAATATAATCTTGAGGAAATTACACCTCATACTAACACATTTAAATTATATTACACTTTTCTACCCCTTATATACTTATTTTTAAAATTACTTAAAGAAGCTACAAATATTTTCAATGATACCAGAATTCAAATTATAGTAATTTATCCTTTAATTAGGGAAGAAAAATCACACCAGAATTTTATTCTGCTCCAACTATTCTCACTCATCCGATCTCCATTCAATTCTTTTATTTTCTCGGGGAGTTGAAATACTTGAAGGATCTCCCCGATCCATCAGCTCTCCATTTAGATCAAGAACCGTAACGCAGGGTTTTGAATCTTTATTATTCAACTAAAGTAATCTTTAGCAATTTCATCTTCCTGATATCCATAGACTAATTCTGCTTTGTTAATTTTAAAACATAATGTGGGTGCGGCTTGTGAATTAATACGACTTGTGAATTAACGCTTATAAGCGTTTGTTACTTCTCAAAGAATTCACGCAGCTTTGTAATTCACGAAGCAAAATTTGTATAACTTACTCAGGTGAATTGTTAATTTGCTCAATGGAAGTGTTTGTTCACTGTTCACTTATGCAATTCCAATTTTGATTATTGAGGTTAGTGAAGCTCAAAAAATTTGTGGATTTGGTTGTGCACTTGTGCAATTCCAAATTTGATTATTGAGGTTAGTGAAGGTCAAAAAAGATGTGGATTTGGTTTTGCACTTATGCAATTCCAATTTTGGTTATTAAGGTTAGTGAAGCTCAGAGAAGTTGTGGATTTTGTTCGAAAGTTTCTTCTCGGCTGATGAGAATATGTTGAAATTTTGTGTAGCATGAGAACATTGTAGAACCACCGCTCCAGATGCCCCAGCGCCGTGAGAAGGAGCACGTCCGTGGTGACAGAATGTACAACAACCGCCCCCAGATGCCCCAGCACCGTGAGTCGTCGGTTTTCAATATATCTACGTGACAACACATATGTTGAGTATATGTACAATATATTTACAGTATATGTACAGTATATGTAAATCTTAGTTATGTACAGTTATTGTCTTAGACATGTACAATTAGTTTGTGAATGGATGTTTGTTTTTTTCTGTTTTTATTGTTTTTTTCATAGTTTATGTAGGGTATATTAGAAGATTTTTTTGTTAGAAAACGAATTTGACAAAGCATAAACTGGTTTTTTTTTAGTATATGTATGGTTTATATTTATTATATTTTCGGTATATGATAAAGAAATTTATCTCGATACATAGTTTTTATATATAAAATCAATTTATATTTAACATAAACTGAATCTTTTTGATGTTGTTGTTTATATGTATGGTTTTATATTACGTTTATAATATGTTTTTAAACTATATATATACTTTTATGTATAAAAGAAAAAAAAAAAAGAAAGAAAAGAGGAAGATATAATTTTCTGATGGAAGACATTTTTTTTTCATTGCAACATATACTGAATATATACTAACATATACGCAATATATACCACCTGATAACTGCGTGAATTAAAGAATTCTAGTTGCGCACATATACTGAATATATACTAACATAAACGCAATATATACCACCTGACAGCTGCGTGAATTAAAGAATTTCAGTTGTGTAAATTAAGGAATTTCAGTTGCGTAAATTAAGGGATTAAATGAGTAAGTTATTTATTTTCATTTCTCTCTCTTATGAGTCAACGTTTTTTTGTATGGTAACTGAAATCAGTTAAATCTCCAATTAATTAAATGGTTTTAGGTACATATGCAATTAAACTTATAGTAGTTGCAAAATTATAAATAAGTCTAAATCTAGTAGGATAAATGAAAATTTCCCTATAATCTTTTACAAAATCACTTGAGATTAAAATGTCATAGCAACTCAAAGTTAATCTATTACTACTATATAATACCAACTAATACAATACCCGTGTATTACACGGGTGTTGAATTAGAAAGCTTTTGTAAAAATTATTAAATTTTTTATTTTTTAAAAAACTAAAATAATTTAATTTTATGTAAAACATTACTTTGGGTTTTAATTAAATTGTCAAATTATATTTTTTTAATCATAATAATTAAACACCCGTACATTAAATGAAAATGTCAACCCGTGTTTAATTTTTTTACTTATATCATATAAAAATATCGATATTATTTACTATTACATAAGTAAAAAATATATATCTTAAATAAATACAAATAATATGGTGATGTGTATATGCATAAGTGTAGAATATTTAACATTAAGCAAAATAGATTAATTTTTTTACTTAATTAGATGCATAATACATCAAATGTCGTATCAGTCGTACTTCACAGTTTTTTAACTTTATATGTAATTTTAGAATTTAGATAAATAATTATTTATTTTTATTACATTGACAACATACCAATTAGATTTGAAATAAATATCATTTTTAAGAGAATACATACCAATTTCTGTTACTTTATAGTATAATTTATAGTTTTATTTGATATAATTTAATTTTGTTTGATAAATAAATTTAAATTTTATTTATAAGGATATATATTTTTGTTTTGTATTATATATATATATATATATATATATATATATAAATAGTAAAATACAAACGGACTTCATAATATCAATTCAAATGGAACACACTAATTAAGATTTTTTTTCTTGACAATATTAACCCTATTTAATGGATGTTATGAGAACGATGGAAATGGGATATGAAGAGACACTGTATATTAGATGGAGGGTTAAAATAGAAAAATATAAACAAAACATCTAAAACGACATTTATTTTATCAGTGATCAATTAAACCAAAGTGACAAATAATAAAAATAGGAGGGAGTATATATTATTATATATTTTAGTATGACACATGTTAATTGTGCGACTTATATGTATTATATTATAATAAATTTTCTACCTTATAACATATAAATACATTAAACATAATTATATTAATTAATAAATAATTTTATTTTCTAATTAATTTTAATAAATAATTTTATTATTATTATATAGATAAATGTAATTTATTTATTTTATGTAAACAATATGGATGTTAAATTGAAACTTATAAAAAGATGATTAATTTGATACATTATATATATAAAACCGATAAGAAATACAAAAGTTATCAACTTTTAAACTATATTTGCAATCCAATGGTTATAATAAGAAATGATATTAAAATACAATTAATACAAATATTAATTTGCATCCAAGCATATCTCCAAAGCATGATTTTTTGCCAAATAGGATTTTAGAGCATGAGAGTTTACCACGTAGGCTCAGCGCATTCTAAAATTATATGTAGAGGGGATAAGAAAAAAATATAAAAATAGCATGACAATTCCAGCTTAAATTTTCAGTTTTTACTACTTATAGAAATGTTTTTTGAAATTTTTTTGCAATTCCCACACATGATTTTTTTTTGAAATTTTCAAAATTTTCGAAAGTGACATAAATTATCTTTTTCAATAGATATGCATTTCATTTTATCTTGATGTCCATATTTAAATTTTATTTTATTTTTTTTGTGGATATTGTTTTGATTTGATTTTAATATTTTTAATTAGATATCTGGAACTATTAACAATGGTAAGTCAAATAAATTGCCCAGTATCTATTCTAAATTCTTCCTATGAAGTATGATAGTTTTTTTTATTTCCTATATTCTGTTTTTCCTTTTCCAATATTACGTTTTTTTTTTCCTTTTTTTTTTTACTTTTAAATTTCAATTTTTTAAGACGTTAGAAATATTTTTCCTTCTATTTTAACATTTATTATATACAAATAAAAATATTTATCAATCTTTGAAGAAATTTGGAATCACTTTAATGAACTAAAAAAGAAAAATTTAAAGTACTCCTTAATTTAAATAATCACAAAAATTCTGAGAATACCGAAAAACTATGGTCAATTAGAAAGAATTTAGAATTATAGGATAATTACAAACCATAAACGTAGCAAATAAATTATATGAATATAATATCTACATTGTTTTGAAATCACATATTTCATTAGGTAGTTAAGTTTTTAAACATTCTTATTTTTTTTAATCTATGTATAAGTAATTACAATAAAAATAATATGTCAATCCTTCACATTTTTATTATGTGCTCAATAAATTAGACAATAAAATAGATACTTTTTAACTAAAACCTTTATGATTACATATCATGCTTTAAGAAAAATATATCAATAGATAAGTTAATAAAAATAACTAAATAAATATTAAACTCTTAAGTTTTAATATTTCATATTTTTATTCAAAATCCTTTACATCTTTGATGTTATGTGGAGTCTTTAATTTTCTTTGGAAATATTTTTCAAAAAAAAATTAAAAAATCCCGCAATTGGCTGATATATTTAAGTTTGAAATTCAATTAACTAAATCAATCTCACGTAATGAAATCTCTTTGTTTTGGTTAATGAGACAGAGTTACTGCCAAATTAAATCAATCACACGCAATTTCTCCGGTTGCATGTTCTTATGCTAGATCTTTTTTCAGATGAGATTGATCAGTTATAGACGAGATTTTTGTCAAGAAAGTTGCGTCTTTTTGAATGTATTTTGCCCGAAGAATTTACGTACGTGTAACATGTGACAAGTGAGAAGTCCTTGACTGATAGGAAGTCAGTTCCAATATGAACTGTATTGTCAATTTTCATATTGTTCTTGGATTGTTATTAATGTCCGCAATAGTTGAATTATTTATTTTAATGTTTATTGCTACTAATTATTGCATCATATTTATTTATGGGATTTTCATATTTTTATCTGATATGCATAATATTCATTTATGCGATGTCCTGCCTAATATGCATGATAATTAACTTGTTGCTTATTTTTCATAGTAATTAATTATGCCAATTAATTAGTCGTTTTATTTTCATAGTAATTAATTATGAAAAATACATATTAGGAAACCAATAATGAAATGTTTAAATATAAATAATTATATTTATATGCCAATTAATTAGTATGTATCTTTTTAATATTTTTTTTTTAATAAAAAACAGACAACATTTATTAAATGTTGTCCTTAAAAAATGAGGAGTTTTTTACTCTTTAGTTTTTAAGAAATTCGGACTGCTATTTAAATTTGGTCTATTTAATATTTGTGATGGTTTGACACGATGTGCATATCAAAAGCTGATAATGCACGGGCCGCATCAATTAATTGGTTATTGGTTACAAGAAGTTATTTTTAAATTTGAATAAAAATGTACGTCACGACTGCTAATTCAATTAAATATCGTCCGATTATATTCTCCAAATTTAAAACCAAATATTCGGCTAATACAATTGCTTTGTTTGGCAGCTTTTTTTTAATAAAAAAAGTACAAATGATTTAATAATAAACAAAATCATGTGTTATTTTTTCTAACCATAAAAATATACTTTTTAAAAGAAATAAACAAATAATTTTTTTCTTTTGTTTTTTTACCATTAAATTAGTCGTAATTTGTTTTAAATAAAATCTGCTAATCAAAACATATGTGTTAGCCGATTTTATAGAAAAAAATTTTTTCGATATTTTGAAAATATAATTTTTTCTAACCATCAAAACGGGCAGTTTCGATTAAAAGAATAAAGTTGCGGTTGATTTAATTGTTTTGTTTGACAATGATTATTTTTTTCTAAATTTCAAAATGCCAAATCCTAAAGTTGCGGCTGATTTAATTATTTAACGATATTTTGCAATCATAGATTTGTGTTATCTTCAAATTCAAAATTTATATTGCTGATATGTAGATAAATTCGGACAAATTAAATACATATGATCCCTAAAATGAAGGATTTTATTCCATTAAAAAACATAAAATATGAACTTAACGTGTAAAAAAACAATTTTACATGCTATGAAAGTCATATTGTTTACCTGTCTATCACACGGGATACTCACTACACAGAATAAATAAATATAAACCTTAGTCAGAAGCTATTAGTATTGGATTCATTGTATAGTTACAGCTCACATGGTATTCTCAACTGTTATTTGTATGATTTAATTAATACCCTTTCATACAATTATGTAAAAGTGAATTATTCTACCAATTAAACATACTTATCAGTAGATTCCAGCTTATAAGTCATAATTATCTTGAAATTGACAGGCTTGAGACATTTCTGCAAGCCTTATCCCATGCTTATTCACACGCCAACATTCATGTCTCTAAAATATGTTAATTTGTTAATATTTATCAGCCAACTTTATGTGGTGTGATAATTAGTATTACATAGGTTGTAATCATATATTAGAAAAAATGGTATTATATAGGATTATGCATGACTTGCAAGAATTGACTTTTGAGAATGCAATGTGTTTGTTGCTATGATAAGAATTGTTCGATTATGCAATTTTTTTTGTTTGGTAAATAATCAGTTGTTTTAGACATAAAAACAGCTATTTTTATAATCTTCCATTCTAAAAAAATAATTTTAAAATTCTTCATTTTTGGAAGCTCATGTTTTCAGTTTTTTCTAAATTAGTTTTTTAACTAACAAATTTGTTTCAAATTGCAAACTGCCAAACAAATTAGAAATTATTTGGAATCAAACATTTGATTTGGCTCCAAAAATGCGAGATCATTGATATAAACTATAAATTATTTTCAATTCAATTTATTATCCTCTCCTATTTTTATTATTTGTCATCCTAGCTTAATTGATCATTTGTTAAATAAATGTCGTTTTGACTATTTTGTACATATTTTTCCATCATTATCCTCATCTAACAAAGAAATATACTACGTCTTTTCATATTCATTCTCCATCTTTTCTCAAAACATCAATCTCTATCCTCGGTTATTATTGATAAAAAAAAATATTCTTAATTAATGTACAACTTCTCAAAATGACATTTATTAAAAATAGGAGCGAGTATTTTTTAATTAGGTTGTAACTTGTAAATAGGGGCTAATGAAAAATAAAAATCAGTATCACAGTCCTCATTTAGTACATTTTGAAAATGGTAAATTTGATAATTCAAATTTCAAAGAGAAAAACACACACTCATATCTGGACATATTTATTTATTGGCACAAAATAAGTAATTACATCCAATAAAATAACTGTAATATTCCAATTTCTCTTTTTTTTTTTAGGTACAATGTAATATTCCAATTTCGATTCGAAGAAGAAGAAGGAGGAGGAGTGGGTCCCACACCGTGGCAACGAGCTGGCAACCAAAAAAATTCCAGAGTTTTTGACAGACTGTTCATCTTCTTCATATAGCAAAAAAATCTCTGTAATTCTTTATCCCCTTCTGATTCATCTATATCTGAAATCAGTAGTTTTCGCTGGACTGCTTTAAAGGGTCTGGGCAAAATTAATTCTTTTGACAAAAAAATCGAACCTTTTTTAACATCCATGGCTGAAGAAACGAAGAAGACGACTGATCCTGAGGCGCCGTGCGCAGCCGAGGAGGCCGTAGTGCCCGAATTTCCGGTAACGGAGAAAAGGGACGCGCCGCCTGAGCCGGAGAAGGTCGAGAAAGCGGCGGATGCGGCGGGCGAAGCGGAGAAATCCGCGGAGGAGGAGAAGGAGGCGGACGGACCTTCTAAAGAGGCTAAAATCTCCGAATCTGCTTCCTTCAAGGAGGAAACTAACAAAACCGACGAGTTAATCGACCCGGAGAAGAAGGCACTGGACGAATTCAAGGTTCTGATCCAGGAGGCGCTCAGCAAGCGCGAGTTCACCGCCCCGCCGCCGTCGCCGGCGGCCTCCGTCCAGGAGGAGGAGAAAAAGGAGGAGCCGAAGGCGGAGGAGAAAAAATTAGAAGAAGTAGAGCCTAAGACCGAAGAGAAAAAAGACGACGCCCCAGAAACCGAAGCTTGCGAGGAAACTCCGCCGGCGGCGGCGGAGCCGGCGAAAGAGGAGGAGCCGAAGAAGAAAGCCGAGAAGTCCGAAGAGAAAGCGGAGGCCGCAGAGGAAGTCAAAGAAACCATCGTCCACGAGGTCTCCTCCCCTGCTCCGCCGTGCAACGAGCCCGCCGCCGAGCTGGACGCGGAGAAGGTGGAGGAGGCTCAGCCGGAGCCGGAGGAGGTCTCCATCTGGGGAGTCCGCCTCCTCGCCGACGAGAAGAGCGACGCTATCCTCCTGAAATTCCTTAGGGCGAGGGACTTCAAGGTGAAGGAGGCTTTAGCCATGCTCAAAAGCGTGGTGGCGTGGCGGAAGGAGTTCGAAATCGAGAAGCTTCTCGATGATGAGGAAAATATCATCGAGGGTCTCGAAAAGGTTGTGTATATGCATGGTGTTGATAAAGAAGGGCACCCTGTTTGTTACAACGCTCTTGGTGAGTTTCAGAACAAGGAATTGTATGGTAGCACCTTTGCTGATGCTGAGAAGAGGGCCAAATTCTTGAAATGGTATATTCAGTTCTTGGAGAAGAACATAAGGAAACTCGATTTCGGCGCGGATGGGATTTGCACTATTGTTCAGATAATCGATCTGAAAAACTCACCTGGGCTCAGCTTGTTCAAGAAGGAGCTTCGCCAAGCTACTAACCAGGCTCTTCAGCTGCTTCAGGATAATTATCCTGAATTTGTTGCCAAACAGGTACCCCAGAACCAAAAATAAAAAAATATAAATTCATTCTTGATTGTTATTATTGTATTTGTCACGCGTTTTCATCTATTTAGGTTCAAAGATAAAGAAAGATCTTATCTTTACTTGTTCTTCTGTCAATGGATTTTGTTTACATGGGTAGTTATATTGGTGCTGTAATTTTGTGGGAGACTATTTGGAGGTGGTGGCAATTAGGATTTNTATTATAGTATTTGTCATGTGTTTTTCATTTATTTTAGGTTCAAAGATAAAGATCTTATCTTTGCTTGTTTTTTCTGTCAAATTTTGTTTACATGGGTTGTTATATTGGTGCTGTAATTTTGTGGGGGACTATTTGGAGGTGATGGCAATTGGGATTTTCTTCATTTGGTTTATGCTTAACAAATGTTGAAGCTTCCAAGGTTTATTTGAAACATAAAAGACCGCATTTTTAGACATGAAACTGCTAGAATTCTCTCGGTTAACAAGGATTCTATTGGATCCAGAATTCAGATCATTCGCTTTTTTTTAAAATAATGTTATTTTAGTTTCGTGTCGATCTGTAAGTTTGCTTTTTGTGAAGGTGTTCGTAAATGTTCCATGGTGGTATCTGGCTTACAATAGAATGATCAGCCCATTCTTAACCCAAAGAACCAAGAGCAAGTTTGAGTTTGCAGGCTCTACCAAGACTGTCGAAACTCTCTTCAAGTCAGTAATATTTATGTCAGTTGATTATATCATTTTAAGTCTTTTCACTTTTTCATGTTTGTGTAATTTGGTGGGTAAATTTATGTTTGTGTCTCAAAGATACATAGCACCCGAGCAATTGCCAGTTCAATATGGTGGCCTTAGCAAACATGAAGATCAAGAATTCACCACTGCTGACCTTTCTATTGAGGAAATAATTAAGCCAACTTGCAAACACACCATTGAAATCCCGGTTACTGAGGTGAGCTTGATAAATTATTAATGTTTTTCATTTATTATTTTTCGATTGATTGATTAAATGAATTAGTACTTATAAATTATTCTCAACCTGTTCTGAATATACTGGGTATGTTGTTGTTGTTGTTGTTGTTGTTGTACAAGATTGTACCTGTTTTTCAGCGTATTTGTAAAACAGAACACAAAAATCAGTGGGATATTTGTTTATCTTTATGAGGTAAATTTGCAATATCGAACCTTAACTGGGGTCTTTTCGTAAATTGAGAATCCGGGTTTTTTTTGCAGGCTGGTACATTGGTTTGGGAGGTTAGAGTTGTGGGGTGGGAAGTTTCGTATGGAGCTGAATTTCTACCAAGTGCCGAGGGTGGATACACTTTGATTGTACAAAAGGCTCGGAAAATTTACCCGGCTGATGAACAAGTTATAAACTGCAGCTTCAAGACAGGTGAAGCTGGCAAAGTCATCCTCACATTCGACAATCAAACCTCTAAAAAGAAGAAGCTTCTCTATCGGTCCAAGGTCAAGCCCTCTGAATGAAAATAAAAAATGAAGAAGAATAAATAAGGGTTCTTTTGTTCATCAACACATCATTTTTCTTTTCTTTTTTTTAAAAAATGTTTGGTATTTATTAAAGTTAGTTTTTAGTTAAAAGGTTTGGGGGGAGTTTGGTTATTTCACATTGGTTTGTTGTTTTTCATGAATTTTTGAAGTTTTTGTGGTTTGGTATTTGTTTGAAGGTTCTCGCACTGAACAATTGGGAATACATGTTGGATAAAAAAATTGTTATTTTTCTTTTTAGAGTGTGAAAAAATGTGTGTAAAATTATGTTTAAGTTTGATTTGTTCTGTGATTGCTCTAGTTTCCATAATGTAAATCATGTTGTGTATTGAAGATGATTTATTCATACTCTTATGACTTGTTGGTTTTCTCTCTGGAATTACATTGTGGGAGTTACCAAATCTGCCAAATTCTTGCATGTGTGTCTAATTTCATTGCAAAAGTTTGAATTGTACCTGTTTGGATGTTTTGTTGTGTATGTGGCCAAACCTGTCTGAGACCTTAAGCAACAATGGAATATAGTGCAATTTCTTGAATGTTTTTATGTGTATTTCATTATAAAGGTACATGTCAAGTGGATTTGTTTTTGGATTCTTTTGGAATCACAATTTATCATATAGATAGTGGACCACATGCAATTTGGTACACTTGCACAATAAGTTAGATTCATCTATTTGAATTGTTGTATGAGGTGGATTTCACCCTATTGCACACTGGTTTTAAGTCGTCGGATCAATATACAACTGCACGAATATGTTATGTATTGTGTGCGCATGATCTGACGGTTCAAAATCATGCACGAATATGTTTGTATTGTGTGTGTGTGATCTGACGGTTCGAAATCATGCACAAATATGTTGGTATTGTGTGTGTGTATGTGATCTGACGGTTCAAAGTCATGCACGAATATGTTTGTATTGTGTGCGTGTGATCTAACGGTTCGAAATCATATGAGTATGTTTGTATTATCAATTGTGTGAGTATGATCCGAAGGTTCGAAATCATGCCCTAATGGTATTGTCGAATTAGCCCAAGCCCTTGAACTAACAATGATATTTATAAATTATGGAATTTTGTTTGTGGTTTGTTGGTTAAGCATGTCAATTTTAACTCTTAACATCATATTTATGAATAAAAATACATACTAGTATAGTGAACTATCGTTCGTCTTACAATAAATCGATAATTTTTTTACTTGTATTCTATATGATATTCTAATATAAAAATACATTTAAAATATCTTATCATAAATTCTAAAAATAACGAGCTCAACGTGCTCTTTTTTATGCTTTCTAGAATTGTTTTATGCTATATTAATTTTACAGAGAATTTTTTTTTTAGCCATGTACAAATGGCTAATACAAATTTTAGCCATGTTTTGCGAAAAATATCTTTTTAGCCATTTTGGCACCTAAAAAAGAAAAAAATACCCTTACTACCTATTTTTATATAAAAAAAGAATCCAAGAAACGATTTCTGGGTCCATAAATCGATTTTCGGTCCCAGAAATCGATTCTGGTACAAGAAATGGTTTCTGGTTCTAAAAATCGATTTCCGAGACCGGAAATCAGATTTCTGGACCCAAAAATGGTTTCTGGTCTCAGAAATCCCAAAATCTAAGAAATGATTTCTGGTTCCAGAAATCGATGTCCGGTACCAAAAATTGATTTGTGGTCCTAGAAATCCCAGAAACGATTTCTGGTGTCCAGAAATAGTTTCAGGTACTATAAATTCAAGAAATGCTTTATGGTTCCAGAAATCGATTTTTGGTCGATTTCTGGGACCAGAAATCCCATAAATCGTTTATGGACCCAGAAATCCCAAAAACGATTTTTTGAATCATTTTAGATCCTATAATAATTTTTCATACAAAAAATCGATCCCAATAATCGATTCTGGTTCAAATTTTATTTGTTTTATTATATAAGACATTGAATCATATATAAGACATGTTTTTTTGAGGAGGATATGGTAAAAAAGTTAGAACATCGACAAAAAACGAGACATAAGTTTATCGATCTTTTTCTTTTCACAAATTTGTAGACTCTTTTTCTTTGTTGGGGTCAAGCTTCATTCATTAATACCAAGTCCCCGCCGAAATTTGCAAACTTCACAATGGAGAAAACAGTGCAACACTTTACATTGCAGCCTTCTGTTCGACAAATGGTTGAACTTACAAAAAACTACTCGTGAAATCGTGATGAGTCATTCACAAGAAGCCCAGAAATTCAAAATTTTACAAAAAAACTATCCGAGATTGATTTACTCATTAGATTTAGAAGTATAGGTAATATATGGACAAATGTATGAGGGTGCTCCGAACATTTTTTGATTATGAAGATGAGGCTAAAGTTCAATATAATATAAACCCTATTTTTCTTTTATTTTTTAAGAGAAGCTTTCTATAAAACATTGAAAGAGAGTTTTATGCTCCTGCCCTATTCGGTACACCCTGCCGACTGCTTGTGCCTCGACTGTCGGATTCAGAAGTGGCTCGACGAGAATAACATGCTGAATCTCCAAAAATGAACATTTGATAGTTAAAAAAATATAATTAGTCAATTCATCTAAAAAGTTATGTTATCTTGCACAAGTGTTTAGAATTTAGAAATGCGTGTGTCTGTGTTTGCGTGTGTTTAAACGCATGTAAAAAAATTGCAAAACGGCCTTAATAATTAGAATAAAAACTGGAACTCCTTGAAAAATATTTATATATAAACTAGTAACTCGGGATAAATAAATCTGTTCGCCCATTTTGACTATAGATGTTCATGAATCTAAGGAGAAAAAAAAAATCTCAAACATAAATCAGCTACAAGTACGTTTATAGTTTAATTTTGAAGTCAATAATTTAAAAAAAAAAATATCCAAAAAGAGGGAAAAGCCATTTTGCGGCCCGAATAATTAGACACGCTCATTCAAGCAGATGACACTTCGGATGCCGAAACTAACGCCGCTTGTACCTGAAGAGTAAAATGAGTTGCAATGATCAAAATACCAAAACAACAAACTTTAAAATGAGTGGCCACACCATATACACATATCAAAACCTAAAATTATTAGACACAAGGTTGATGATAGTCCAACTGACATCAAAATATAAATTACCAATAAACATGCCAACAGATGAACAAAATAAATGAAATCAAATGTCTTCAAGTAATATTCGTACCGTGACTTGCTCTTAAAGGAGGATTTCCTCTTCCCGCCACCTCGCGCAAAGCAAAAGTTCTTTTTTGCCTTTTCTCACTCATATCGCCCTCGAAAAGGAGGATTTCCTCTTCCCGCCACCTCGCGCAGAAGCAGAAGTTCTTTTTTGCCTTCTCTCACTCATGTCGCCCTCGAACCAGCTTTCTTAACCTGTCAAGATGGCTCAAATCATTCCATACGTAATTTTTTGGGCCATAGTCCTAGTTATGTGCTTCATCTTAATTCAATGTCCAAGGTCAAAGCTCAAGTGTAAATTTCATCCAATGAAGTTTCCTTCAAGAGAATACATACATAATATTTGCACTAATTCACAGAAGTGTGAAACATTGACCTAACTGAGTGATCAATGCCATGAAGTTATAATGTTATAAAATTTGGGTTTGAATTGAAAGGCATCATTTTTGGAAGTCTCAATGATAGGTCGAAAAATGTGCACATTTTATATATTTAATAGTGTATTTCTATACACTTATTTTATTCGCACATTTATATTTTTTTTGACTTGTTTATTATTTGGATGGATTCATATACATTGATATTTTTATATTTATTTTCAGCATATTCGAAGATTTTAATGGATGGTGAAATTTCGGACAGAAGCTCGAGAGCCCAATACCTGCACATGAAAACATCAGAGTTGATTGAGTTAATTTGGCAAGAATTAATGGATTGGGCTAAAGCTAAGTAATTAAGGCCTAACATTGTACTTAATATGGATGTCTGAAGAATTATTTGGAGAGGACTTGATTAAGAAAAGAAAGGCAGCAGCAAAAAGCACTCACGCATGAAGGGTGGACATTTTAATTGGAGTCTTTGGCGGAGGATTTCATTGGCTAGGACAATTAATTAAAGAAGACTCCATTCTTAGAAGGGAACATTATTTTATTGGAGAAGACCCTAGGAATTTATCAGAAAAAAATTATTTACGTGAGGAGGGCCGTGAACAGAATTATTTTTACGAGGCAGAAGAAAAACGCAGAGAGTTCACGCACAGGCTGAGAGGAGAGCTCTACACGCGGAGGGAAGCCGCATTTTCACACGAGGGAGATCTTTATTCTCTCTTTTATCTTTTATTTATTTTATTATTAGTATGGTAGGCTAGTGTTTTTATCCAGTTTGAGGGAATGTTTGAACCCTAATTTCGATTTGTCTATGTATCGAATGATCTTTGTTTATTGTTGATTAATCTAAACGTCGTATTTATTTTGTCGATGAGTTGATTCATGTTATCTGTGTATCGTGTTTATGAATTATGGTGTTTGGTTTGGTTTGGCCAGCTAGGTTGAATATCCATAATTTAATTGCTAAATTCGAGGCTTTAATCCGTAATTGTTATTGTCTCGTTGCTTAGACTGATCTATTTCTCTAAGAATTAATGCTACTAGTGTATTAAATCTAGAGAGCTTATTCTAGGTTGTCCACTAGTTAGGTTTAGTCGAAGAGCCTATTTCGATTAAATATTCGGTAAGAGAAAATTCGGTTAACAGAGCTTGTTGTTAGCTAGGGTCGGTAATTCATTAGCAATTTAAAGAAAGCGTCGGAAATTAATTAACGGTAGATTTAGATTGGGTGATAACTGAACCGAAAAACTGGACTTCTCTTATTTATTTGATTTTTAGTTTATTTATTTTTATTTTTAGTTTTATAAATCAATCCCCCCCTTTATTTGCTTTCGTAGTGTAATTCAATTAATACGAGATTGTCACAATTTAATTCCTACTCCTCGTGGGATCGACCCTTACTCGCCACTACTACTAATTAGTAGATATTTGTTAAAGATACATTTATAAATTTAAATTTGCCACGTCGCGACGCGCGGTCACCCAAGAAAACAACAAACCATGAAAGAGTCCATTTGACCCCACCATAACAAACCTACAAAGTAGACAATAGCATATAGCAATATCTAGAATAATTAGTTTGACTTGATGAAATATAGAAGTAACAATAAATTTAGTTTCGGGAGAGTGACACTTCACTTATGACTTTCCCATCGTAGTTATATCGTGAAATGGTCACAGGATGTTTTTCTTTGATAGGAAGGTTGCTATAAATGAATATTGTTGATAAAATTGCACCTTCAAATGACTCAGTGGGATAGTTGAATGATTTCCATTTTTTCATAGAAAGGACTACAAGTTGAAAATGCAGAGCCGCATATAAGTAGTCGCTACTAAATTTGTAAACCATTAGAGTAAATTACTTCGTAAGGTCTCGAGGACATGCCAAAATTGATAACTGTCTGAACTCCTATAATATAAAGACCCTGAAAAATGAAATACAAGAGTAAAGTGGACACAACAGAGCAACATCACATGGATATAATGATCTTTATAAAAATTCTGATAATAGGGAGTGCTTGGTAACATTAAAGGAATGTGAACAACTATGAAAGTGAAAGAAATGAGTAAATACTTTTCATAAACCCAATTTGTAGGGGTATGATTCAACAATAAACAACGGGCAATCAAGCACTACTCATTTCATTCCCATTCCCACTTCCCTAACACCCACTCTAAGCACCCAACTAGTTTAGCTGCATGAAACAAAAATCTTATTCTTACACGAGCAGTAACATCCGTAGCAATTAGAAAATCCACTTGTTGCTTCCTAAACAGCTCCAAGGCTCCAACAGAACAAAATACTTCAAGATGCAGAAGTGAACCACTCACAAACCCAAAAGAAAACAAACGATGAACAAGGGAGACTTGGAGGAACTTACATCAAGACGCTGGGTCGTGTTCAAAAAATCTCTTCAAACAAAACCCTAATTTAAAAAAATTTCAAACCAACGTCCAACGAGGTTCGTGAAGATTCGTGACGGCGGGGTCGTGTTCGGTCGTGAAGAGTGAAGGCCCGGTCGAAGATTTGCTCAGAAGAGGTGTTCAATTTCTGCTCGTGAGGTGTTCGATTTCTGCTCAGAAAGAAGAATGAAGATGATTTTTTGAAGAAATATTTTTGCAGATTTGCTCAGAATCGGTCGTAAAGATGAATTTTTTGAAGATGAAGTGCAGAGCGGGGGACGGAAATTTTTGAAGATTGAAATTAATTGAATTAGGGAAACACAATTTGTGTGGAGTTAAATTGAGTTAGGGGTAATGTAGTAAAAACACATACCAAAATGGCTATAAAAGATGCTTTTAACAAAAGGTGGCCAAAATTTGTGTTTTATAAATCTTTATGGCCATTTAATGATATTAACACTTAATTTTATTAGAAAAGGGAAACACAAAAATAAAAATACCCTGTTAATCTAAGACAATTAGGTCACAGTCTTAGAAGATAATTGGACACAGTCTTAATTAGGTCAAAGACAATTTTAATGGGAATTCATAAGATGTTTCAAAGATATACTCCATATTCCTTGACAATAAACTAATGTAATGAGGCATGCCTATTGTTTTTAAAATACATAAAGAATAAAATAATTCTGAAAATTTCAAGAAAAAAGAAAAGAATGTGACTATGTGAGCAAATAAAGTTTGATAAGAACTTTACAGAAAGCAGCAGACAAAATATGGCTCAACAACAGTGAGAGTAATCAGTCTGTCACATAAAAAACGCTTTGCA